TCTCCAAAATCAAAAATAAGGAGATACTCCTGAAAGCAGCTAGGGAAAACAGAAGTGTTACATACAAAGGCAAGCAAGTCAGATTAAGCTCGGATCTCTCAGCAGAAACCATGCAAGCAAGAAGGCAATGGGGAGACATATATAAACCCTGAAAGAAAAAAACCTGCCAACTAAGTATCCTTTATCCAGCAAAGCTGTCACTCAAATACGACGGTGTCATCAAAACGTTCCCTGATAAACAGAAGCTAAGGGATTTTTCCAAAGCCAACCCTGTGCTACAAAACATACTAAAGAGAGTTCTGTGGACTGAGAACCAACAAGAACAGACAACAACCAGAGATTGACATGTGTGGCAGCACCTCCCAGAACTAAATTGACAGAAGGAAGAGTCAAGAACAGAACAAAACTATAAGAACAAACTCAGAGAATCTGGGAGGACAGTCTATGATCAAAACAATTACAATGTAAAAGAAGGTAAGCACGCAGGAACATAGATCAAAATGGTGAGACGGTCAGGTAGATTATAGGATAAAATAGACCGCACTAAATGGAGGGAAAAGTTAATGGACTATAAGGTAACCTCAAAGAAAATTAACACTTCACAACATACCAAGAAAATGAAAATTCAAGAACATGGAAACATTAAAATTATAAAGAAATTGACAAGAAAGAACACAAAAAGCATGAACTCAACAAAGGAAGACACAGAACAAAGAAAGCAGCAACACAACAAAAAAACAAACATAATGGCAGCAATTAATCCATATATATCGATAATTACCCACCACTCGTCTGTCAGTTTGTCGTACTGTAGTGCCTTGTGAGTTGCTGTGATTCTGAAAGCTATGCCACCGGTATTTTAAATACCAGCAGGGTCACCCATGGTGGACAGGTTTCAGATGAGCTTCCAGACAAAGACAGACTAGGAAAGAATGACTAAATACTTCCGGATATTTAGTCACTGAAAACCTTATGAATAGCACAGAAACACTGTCAGACATAGTGCCGGAAAATGAGCCCCTCAGGTTGGAAGGCACTCAAAATGAGACTGGAGAAGAGCTGCCTCCTCAAAGTAGAGTTGAAAGTGAGGATGTGAATGGAGTAAAGCCCTTGGGAGAAAAGCCCGTGGGACATTCATTTGCTGATGGGGCACAGCTCGAAATGAAGAGAAACAGCTGTAAACATCCATTGAAAATCGGAACAAGGAATGTACGAAGTATGAATCTGGGAAAATTGGAAGTTGTCAAAAATGAAATAGAACGCATCAACATCGATATCTTAGACATTAGTGAGCTGAAATGGACTGGTATTGGCCATTTTGAATCTGACAACCACATGGTATACTACGCTGGAAATGACAAATTGAAGAGGAATGGTGTTTGCATTCATTGTCAAAAAAATACATATCCAGATCAGTCATGAGGTACAACACTGTCTGTGATAGGATAATATCCATGCACCTACAGGAAGACCAGTTAATACCACTATTATTCAAATTTACACACCAACCACTAAAGCCAGTGAGGAGGAAATAGAAGAAGCTCTGGTAGCGTAGTGGTTATGAATCGGGCTGTGAGCCACAAGGTCAGCAGTTTGAAACTGTTCCGTGGGAGAAAGATGAGGCTTTCTGCTCCCGTAAAATTTTACAGCCTCGGAAACCCTGTGCAAGGTCACTGTGAGTCGGAACCAACTCCACGGCACATAACAATAACAACAACCAATTCCTTCAATCTGAAATTGATCAAACATGCAATTAAGATGTATTGATCATTATTGGTGATTGGAATGCAAATGTTGGGAGCAAAGAGGAAGGATCAGTAGTTGGAAAGTATGGCCTTGGTGATAGAAATGAT